ACAGTGTATGGAGTGGTACACTGTGGACTCCTGCTCACGTAAGTCTGCGACATGTTTACCTACACATGTTAAAGTTTAAACCGAATGTACACTCTGTAAAGGGAGTGTGTTTTATAGCTGTTCTCCAAGAGCAAATCAAACAAAACACAGCAAAAGTAGCACAATCCCATGTGTAACGCAGAACCCTCAGACATAAACGAAGGCCGTGAGGCTGCTTTGGTTTTCAACTGATGACACCTTAGCTATGTTATCCATATGATTCACAGTTACAATGCAGCTTTTGACCATGTGGTGGTGGTGCATCAGTCAGTTCTATAACAAGCTCAAATATACAGAGAAAAGAAGAAGAGAAGTCTTCTGGAAAACCTTTTAAAATGAAAATGAAAATCAAATACGGCCTCTTGCTTTTAAAACTATAAGTGCATTTAGTTTTTTTATTGAATACAAATCAAACTGTGAGGGAGGTCAATCTATACAGTGGTAATATTTAATGGGCCGCGGGCCACATTGTACTATAAAAATTGGGCCTCAAGGTCAAAAAGGTTAAGAACCCTAGGTATAAGTGGTATTAAATTTCAGAATAAAAGTGCACAATGCACAGCTTTTGAATTCATTATTGATTTTTGCACAGAACAATGCAATTAAAATTTTAATTGTTGCTGAGCACTAATTGTTTATTTCATTATTTTATTGTAGTGCTGCCTTCAGCTGAACATCCCGGATATAATTTTTTTTTATTTTAATGACTAACCAGTTTACCTTGAGCTTTCTTTGTAATTACACGTGTAAGATAAATAATATGTGTGCATGTGTGTGGTTCTACAGCGGAGAACTGTTCTGGCTACAGGACCTGTGGTCAGTGTTTGGACCAGCCAGGCTGTGGTTGGTGCACCGACCCCAGTAACACAGGTAAAGGTCAGTGCATCGAGGGCTCCTACCGTGGGCCGTTCCAGACCGCGGTCCCTGCTCCCTCCACACTGCCGGGGCTGACCGCCAACCCTCAGCCGGCCCTCAATGTCAGCATGTGTCCACACGATTCCAAGTATAACTGGTCCTTCATCCACTGTCCAGGTGAGTCTGGACAGTTCTATCTTTGCCTTAAACCCTGCAGATTTCATGTGTCCTATGTCATGTTGCCTCGTCTGCTGGTGAACCAGATGAAACAGGAACTGAAATGTGTGCCTTTAAAATAAAACAAAAACTCCACCATACAAAATTCCAAAGACAAAGTTGTTAGTCTTCCGCAGCCTCTGTCAACAAAAAGCACTGAGGTAACCTGTGAGATCAATGAACAAAGTCTTTGTCATTAACATCACTGCAGTTTGAGAATGGTCCAGAAAAGACAGCAGCAACTCAGCAGCTCTACTGTCTGCATGAGCTAAAAGTTTTGATTTTCTCTACAGACTTTTCAATAGACTATAAACCGTTTGTAGTAAAGAAAAAAAAAAGTAAAACCTAACCTTGTATTATCCTTGGAGTCTTGGTATTGTTTTTCGGACAGGAACCTAGAGTCTGTTTTTCTTTGTCTCCGTCATACCAAAACACACACAGAATTTTGGTGATTTTTTTGATCAGAGAATACAGGCGTTGTCTCACATGGACAGGTTCACATGTGTTATTTTTGATTTGATTAAATGTAATAATCCAAGGTTGAATTTTCTCAGTGGCACAGACTGAACTAAGAGGCAGCTGCAGAGTCTTGATGGTTTCCTCTACGGACCCTGGTGGACGAGATTGAGTCATTTATCAAGTGACAAAGACTTAGTTCAAGTACCTTATATTCTTTTTACATATTGGCTGTACACTCAAGTGGTTATTACCCGAGTGTTTTGCCTATTTCTTTGGTCACTGGTGTTCCTGTTGGCAACTACTGTATGTGTAGACACTTTTGTCAAATCTTGAGTCAGAGGCAGCTGGACCTAAAAAAGCTACAGACTCATGAAATCATGATCCAAATGAAGGAAAATCTACACTTACACATTAGCAATTGGTAATTCATTACTGCCTCATTCAGTTAATCCGTATGTTTTTAATTTGAAATGTTACACTTTAAAATTTAATCAAAGTTTAAATGACAGTGGCCAGTTCAGTGACGCACACTAGCCACAGGAGGCAGCAGTCGACGAGCAGCTGCTTTGTCGCCAAAGCTAAAATAACTGATTTTCTCCTTAAATGGTTGTGAAAACAATGAGGTAACTGTGTTGTGTAATTGGTGTGTATTCAGTTTTTTTTTCCCTTGTTTTTCCGTCAGCCTGCCAGTGTAACGGCCACAGCCAGTGTGTGAACGAGAGTGTGTGTGAGAAGTGTGAGGACCTGACCACAGGACGTCACTGTGAGAGCTGCATCTCTGGTTTTTTTGGAGATCCCACCAACGGAGGCAGCTGTCAGCGTGAGTCAATCACAGACTGTCACTCAGTCAAGGTGTCTGAGAAGACGGTGTCATTTGTAGTCTCTCTCTCTCTCTCTCTTTCACAGCTTTAGCACTCATGAAAACATAAATGATGTGTTCACCCACTAATAGACTTTACTTACACACATGCTTATGTAGCTATGCTGATTAGCGACTGATGAGTAAATAAATAATGAATCCGAGAAACTAGATAATGACGAAATAATGAGGCGAACGTGTGGATATGAATGAGTGATGGTGCCTTAACACCAGCAGCAGCAGCAGCAGCTGTTTCCCTGTGTTTACACTGATGCCTCTGTTCAACAGCTGCTGATGTCCATGGACTCATGTCTGTATCAAATCATCAACTATTTTAGTGGAGTTAGACCATGTGTTGTGAGACATCAACACATCTTGTTCACACAGGGACCAAAACAGTCTGTGGAAAATCTGAATGTAACACATACAGAAGGGAAAGAAATATCAACTCATTATCATGTTTTAATGAAGTGATGATGTTGGGTCTGTGCAGCCTCATTTCAGAATAACCTTCTGTTTGCAAAAGGGTCCCTGAAGTGTGAGCACAAACCTTCTGTCAATCAAAAGGTTTGTTTGACAGAGACAAATGTGAAAAGAAATAATTATTTGTTTGTACAAATAACTGTTTCTTTCAGTGTGAACTCTTCTGCAGTGGTGTTTCTTCTGCAGAGAAGTCCAACTTTATTGTCTTCGACACCAGGTCACAACCTCGGGCTGAAGGGACAGAAATCCAATTCCTTTCAAATGTTTCAGATTTCGGTTCAGAAAAAATATCAGATGACGCTCGGATCAAAACCCTTTTGAAGGAGCTTCAGTCAGTGGAACTGACTTCCCCTCACATTTGGTTAAAAATGTGATATTTGCTCTGATTTTGAAATGGTTTTGAGGTTTTATTAAAATATTGATCAGATGAATAGCGACATCCCAGCTCAACTCTTGACAAAGACATAATGATAAACTAGCTGTTGGAGACTCCCTGGAGACCGGTCTGAACCTGTTTGAGGGACTGCAATCAGACACCTGCAGAAATAAACACATCCAGATTTATGTTAGTGTTTTTTAAATGTTTTCAGACAGGATGTTACAGTCATTAACAGTGTTGTTAATCAGAGCCTTTAGTAAACTGAGATTGTTGTGGGTACGTTGTTGTCATCGTTGTCGTAACACATTCTGTCGTTGTGCTGTTTTATTTTTCAGCCTGTAAGTGTAACGGACACGCCGGCATCTGTAATCCCAACAACGGAAAATGTTTCTGTACAACGAAAGGAATTAAAGGAGATCGATGTCACCTGTGAGTGTGTCTCTCTCTTTACGTGTCCTTCTGGAAATGTCCGTCCATCTGTGACTCGCTGTAAAGACCATTAGTCTTCACACAGACTCACACGTCAGTCTGTGTGAAGACCAAAACCCATCCCGTCTCCGTCCTCCTCCTGTAGAGTCTTTACGTTCACCTCATGGTTTCTATTCCTGTTTCTGTTCTTCACACCTCGTTCTTTGTCTTCCTCAGGTGTGAAGTTGAGAATCGGTACCAAGGCAACCCTCTGAAAGGAACCTGCTACTGTGAGTTGATCGATATAAAAATAAAAAGCTGCAGCTAGAGAACAGTGTGTTGACGTAGGACTCTGTGGATTATATTTAATTAGATCGTCGTCAGACGAAGTAAAACATTTCTGATGCGACAGCCTTGAAAACAGAACCGCAGACTGACGTCTGTAGTGGAGAGTGCAACACAAATTGTCTTCATGAACTGGAAAGCGACTGTTCAGTGACACATGCTTTCACTGTTATGATGAGAAGTGTGTGTGACTGCTGCGGTGTGGTCTACAAAATCATGTTTGACTTTGAAGAAACTCCCCTGATGGACTTCTCTTCTCTGCTGTCTCTCCTGTCTTTCTTTTTTCTCTCTAACATTCGCCACCCTCCCGTCCCCCTCCTCCCCTTTGGGCCTCGTCACCTCCTGCAGACACTCTCCTCATTGACTACCAGTTCACCTTCAGCTTGTCCCAGGAGGACGACCGTTACTACACTGCCATCAACTTTGTGGCCACACCTGAGGAGGTACAGTGAGAGAGGGGTGATCTGCTGTCAGGATTCGAACATCTGACACCATCACCGTTGTCGTTATCATTAATAATATTATCAAAGTCAATAATATTAACAACATGGATTTATATAGCTCCTTCCAGAATACCTAAGGCACTCCCCCTCATTACACTAATCATGGTTGTTATCATTATTGCAGTCATCATCATTGTAATTATCATCAACATCCTCATCGCCATTATAATAATCCACATAATCATGGTCAATACAGCCATAATCATGTTTATATAATTATCACCATCACTACTGTCATTGTCAGGTGCTCGGTGACTCATTCAGATGGTGAGAATACTGATAAAGATTATGGTGAGGAAGATGATCAGGAGAAGGAGGTTAATCTAGTGCATGAGGATGATGTTAAGGGTGGAGGTGGAGTCAGTTGATGATGAAGACAGTGTCAGGCTATGGAGGATGTCTTTACTTTTTTGTCTATATTTCATTTTCTTTAGCCCAATCGAGATTTGGACATGTTCATAAACGCCTCCAAGAACTTTAACCTGAACATCACCTGGGCCACGAGTTTCACTGGTGAGTCCTGAGAAGATGTGAACCTTCAGTCGTAGTGTTGTCAGGGTTGACCTTCACAGTGACTGGACTAATGTAGATGTGTTGTAAAGTCCAGGACTTTGTGATTTGAACGTCTGATGTTTCTCTTTTCCGTCCTCCTCTCTCCTCTGCCCCCATCTGTAATCCTCCTCCTTTTATCACCTTGTCCTACCCCTCCATCTCACCTCCACACCTCAGCTGGAACTCAGACTGGTGAGGAGATCCCGATTGTCTCCCGCAGCAACATTAAGGAGTTCAAGGACAGCTTCTCCAACGAGAACTTTGACTTCAGGAACAACCCCAACATAACCTTCTTTGTCTACGTCAGCAACTTCACCTGGCCCATCAAGATCCAGGTGAGGCTGGAGTCAGTTTTAATATTTAAGAAGTGTTTTCACTGCAGACACCAGTACCAGTCCCACTGCAGCTACACTCTACAGTGGTTTCCTGTAGACCAGAACTCTTACTCCAAAAAGCCCACAATGTAAATGTTGGCATTGGTCAATACGAGGAGGGAGGGGCTTCCTGTCCCCACAGTACAGGAGCTGAACTTTCAAGGCCATGAATGGTTCTCTCTGTTTCTCTCTCTCTCTCTCTCTCTCTCTCTCTGTGTGTGTGTGTGTGTGTGTGTGTGTGTGTGTGTGTGTCATGCTCAGATACAGTCAGTGCTGCACTCACTGAACCGCGGCTCTGACCCTGCAGAGCTGCTGCTGTTTTCTGTTGACATGATAAATGCAGTCTTAAAGATGAGATTTATCGAAAAACACGTTTGCACGAGGGTGACCTTGGGTCACAAATGGACCTGACCTGCTGTTTCTGGACCCAGTTTTTCTTCTCCAAGTCTAACCCCAGGTATAAATACAACAGAAGCAGTGAGAGTTACTGTTTCTTCGAAGGATCTTCTCGCCTTGATCATTTCATACCAGTCTTTTTGAATTAGAAACTAAGCTGGTTTGAAGATGTTTCACCTTCAACCAGAACGTTCTTTAGAACTGAATGTAACCCACACAGTTAGTGTTTGGATACTAATTTTATTTATAATTAATAAATTCCACGTAGGTTATAATTTTGACCTTCAAAGGCACCTGTACACCCGTAAAGACGTGTGCCAAACTACATCCTTTAGAACGACGATGATTGTTTTATTACACGATGAGTTAAATGTGAAGAAATGCATTGATAAATATTAGTAGTTCATGGAGAGAGTTTCTCTATTTACAAGTTAAGGAGTAAATGATTCGTAATGAATCGTTTTATTTCAAGTGAATAATTTGTTGTTCTTCACGTTTTGCACAGACTGGTTTGTTGTGGACACCCATTGATGGAAATCAAAACTCGATGGCTGACCACTTTCACAGTGGAATCGACTCAGAATATGCAAGAGATCCAGATATGTGATCGGAGACACACACACTATGTCTGATGTGATGATGTTAATCAGAATAGATTGAAACATTAAGGCATCTGTTAATACGACAGGTATTAAGAAAAGAAATGGAGATTTGTATAATTAATCTCTACTCATTGTAAATTAAGAAAAGAAATGGAGATTTGTATAGTTAATCTCTCTGCTTTGCTTCATTTTCTAAAATGGAAAGAGTTCTACTGTCTGTTGTTATATTGTAGTTGTTGTAACTGTGATACAGTTATCGCTGGAGTAAAACTGTCAGTTGTTCACTTTTTTATTATTATTCTTTATTACTCCTCAGAACCTGAAGTAAAAGAGGCTTCATATGCACTCTAAGCAGGCACTACATGAACTTTTTTAAAAATACAGTCTTGACTTCACCTGAAGGCAATTTGAAACCTCTTCTGTGGTCAGATGGTCCAGATGGATTTAGCTGAATGAGATGAAAAGAGTTCTGGATGTGAGAGATGAAGATAAAGGTTCTCGTTGAGCATGTATAGAAATTAGAGCATCATCAGATCTGAACTGAAAGAACATTGAAGAACCTGGAGGATCATCAGCAGCTCTGACCTGGACCACCTGAACATATTCTTTTAAGTTTCTTGACAGCAGAAGCTCAGATGATGCCGAGGTCTCAGTATGGTGTGGTCCAGTTCTCAGACTAATCTGACGTCTCCTGATCTATGAAAGGGTCTGAGTGCCGACCTTCTTCAGACCTGGTCTGGTCCGGTATCCATATCCATATCTCCAGCACCTGCTAGAAGCCTTCAGGCCTGGTTTGCTTTGTACTGCCTTTATTTCTGTGTCTGCAAATGTTCTGGAGGCAATTTGAGTGGTTTCCTGTCAAAGCTCCTTCCCTCTGCCCTCCTCTTCCTCCTCCTTCTCCCTTTCTTCTGCAGGGGCAACGAACCCTGCCTCCATCTCTATTTTCTTGCCATGTTAGACGGTCTTGTCCATTTTTCTTAGCCCCAGCTGCTGCAGGTCAGTGGTGCTGATCCTGGTCCACCTCGGGTTCTGCTGCAGGATCATGTAGAAGATCAGACTGAGATCTGCAGCTCACGAGCTGCTGCTTTTTTTTTTTTTTTGATGGATTTTTACTTTCGTCAGTGAGGTAACTCACTGGTAACTGAGGTAACTTTTTCCACTGGAATTTTTTGTTCTTCTTTTCCTGCTGCTGCTGCTCCTGAATCAGATTTTCAACTTCTTATTTTGTGATATTCTCTTTATTTTTCCTTCTTTTTTTTTTTTGCCCTGCTGGCTGTCAGCGGTTGGTGTGTGTGTGTGTGTGTGTGTGTGTGTGTTCATAAACAGCAGCAGTGAGGCTAAAGTGGAATGTTAAGTTGAAACACATGCTGCATTCAGAAGGAGCTGAGTTTCAGCTCAGCTGCTGTTGCTTTGACCTCTTCTCCTCCTCCTTCTTCATCTTCTTCTTAACATTTATTCCTCAGAATTCCATTCACATTATCTTACCTGCTAGCTAACTGTTAGACAATAATGTTTGATATAACAAACTTGGACACCAAGAAGAAAAAAAAAGTTATTTTATGAAAGATGATCAATAATGATTTCACCACTGAACCTGGATCAGGTGGAGGACTTTGGCCTTTAAACTTGGTTTTTAATTTCTCATTTTCATTTTTCATTTTTTAATCTCTGCGCTCATGAAAAAAACATTTACTAATAATTTCCACTGTTTTAAAAATGTATTTTACCTGTCTCTCACACTTATGAGCATAGAAAGTGAAATATTCCAATTTGGTCTAAATTTAGACCCAGACTGACTGATTATTCCTGACTGAGTGAGAGGCTGGCAATTTTTTCAAAGCCTCTGCCGTCTCTCCATGGCTCTTTGTTGGACGCACAAGGACAAAGTGCTGACTTTGGAGAAGACGAGAAAGTGAACAGAATAACGATGGGGGAACTTTGTGATTGAAGAGTCAGAAAGTCTATGAGTTAGAGCTAAAAATATTATTGTTCTGGGTCTTTTCTAACTTTAGCTTCATCGCTGCTGTAGTTCTGTGATCTTCACAAAAGTTCGGCTCAACTCAGGCCAGAAGGAGATGAGTTCGCTCAGTCAGTCATGAAGAATACAGCAGAAATGGTTTGAAGCAGGGCAGAAAAGCTACATGTTAGCAAGAAAAAACAACAACAGGAATTGCTAAAAGTGAAGTCTAAATTGTATCTAGTCCTTATGTTCTCATCTCTGATTTTGTTTAATTTTCTGGTTAAAGCTGTTTATGTTTCTCAGGTTTCTTCTCTCTATATTTTTTAAACTTTGCCTCATTAAAAGAACAACAATCAGGAGAACTTTAAGTACTGACCCACAGATTCCAGGCTGCTGTTTGCAGACTGTATCTCAGACATTGATCCTTAGTTGTGTGTGTTTCACCTCGGCGTGCTCTCGAACTCTCCTCCTCATGCCGGTCTGCTCTGTTCTAATCTGACATCAAGTATTCATGGGCTAATCCTGGCGGGAAGGTAGAAGGACTTTTAACTTGTCTCTGCCTTCCATTTTGTATGTAAATCCTCCCGTTTCTGAGGAATAATATAATTTATAATATTCAGATCAGATGATGAGCTTGGTTCAAATGAGTCACCAGAAGCAACTGAGGGAGAGGAGTGTCTCCAGAGGGGGGCACTGTTGTTCTGCTCTTGTGATGCCATTCCTCTCTCTGTGCTTAAGTGCTCCCAAGTGCTGGTGTAGAGGTTAAGTGTCAGGAGGCGGAGCCCTTGTGCCAATGTTCCCCCTGACATCCTTGATTAAGACAGAATTCTTTAGCTCGATTGCTCTCGTCATGATTGCATTGTGAATATTTCTGCCCACCTGTACAGTACAAGTGTGTGGGTGTGTGGTAGTCTGTAACCCAGTGCTTGTCAGAACTCAGAACTGAACAGAAGTGATTGTTGTTAGATGTAATGAGTTAATTAATCAACCACTTCTCTCCATGACTAATGACCTGTAATTCACTGTTTTACAAACTTTAAAACCAGACTAACTTTTCCCACCAACTGCTTCAGACCTTTTGATTCAGCCCTGATGTCTAGCATGTGGCCTTGAGGTCATTAACAGATCACTTCAACACCTAACTGCTCTGTAGCACAGCAGTCTCAGCCCAGTGATGATCCAGTTACCTCTGATGTTGTCCTTCATTCTGACCCCAATGTTCTGTTTCTACAGATCGCCTTCTCTCAGCACAGTAACTTCATGGACCTGGTTCAGTTCTTCGTCACGTTCTTCAGGTGAGCAAACATTAAAAAATAAACCAAAGAAACATCCTCTTTAACACAATGTGGGTGCTTCACTGTGCACACACACCAGGTTTAGAGCATCTATGTTTTACTTTATTAGTTATGCTGGGTGTCAGTTGGCAGCAGGAGGAGCTGTGGTTCTCAGCAGTTTAAATGAAATGTTGGTGGACAGCGCCTGGTGCTGAAATAAATATGCAGCGTGTGCTGCTCACATTGTTTTCTTTAATGTCTGTGGATGTGGATGTCACTCTAGTCCACAGACGGTTATTTATGTGTCCTTTAATGTTTGTGTGTTTGTCTGTCCGTGTGTGACGGGGGTTGTCACCCTGTTGTGTGTCAATCAGTTTGTTGCAGACACACATTTTAGTTCTTGGCAGGACTGTTCTCAGTTTAAGGTTAAACCAGGTTCTTTGTGAAATTTTGGGTTTCAAAGAACGCTGTTGATGGCGGTGTGTGAGTAAAGACTGTTTTTGTGAATGTGACAGTTTTAGGTTCTCTTCTTAGTGATTCACATCCCTCTGGAACCCCATCCTGATCTAAACATACACAAGAAGCACTCAGGTGCAGAGGAAGTGGCCAGTTTTCCAAAACAAAGAAATGGCAGGTTATTTAAATATTAGCTGTGCATATGTGGGAGTCTCAAAGGAAGCAGAAATTTCTGGGACGTCAGGTTTGACTGAAGGTACAAGACTTCAGACATCACTGAGGACAGAGGTGTGGTCACTGTTCTGGAGCTGTGGTTCCGACTGTTCCCTCCTCCATCAGAACACAGATGTGACTCACTGCCGCAGAAAATGATGTTTATCTTTTTTTACTCTGAAACTTTTATCTGAATATCAGGGTTATTCAGTGAAAACCCAACTGAACCACTCCTCTGTTGCTGCTGTTGCTGCTGTTGCTGCTGCTGCTGCTGCTGCTTCAGCAGCCTGACTGTTGATGTGATGATAGTTCTGGCTGCTGGACCAAACTGGACCAAACAGGCTGATTCTCTGAAGTGGTCACTGAAGCCCGCAGAGCTGCCAATGGCGGAAGAGCCGAGAGACCGAAATAAACATCAAACCAATAAAATAAATAGATATAAAGTCAAGGTTCTGTAGCTTATTTTCACTCATCCTCAGAAGAGAGTTTGTGAGATTCTGTGTGGGAGTCTGAGGAAAGAGAAATGAAATGTGCTCTGACATGGATGGGGAAGAAAAACAGATGGAGACAAACTTTGTCCCGTTTCATCAGGAAACGTTGACAAACTTGATTCGTGAAACATTTAGTTTTTTCAGAACTGTGGTCTGTCGTGAAACATTTAGTTTTTTCAGAACTGTGGTGTGAACATGAGGGTCTGTTCCAGATCTTCAGACTCTATATACTTCAAGTTTCTTATAATCAGATAATCCAGGTGTAGTTGCATTGGACAGGTGTCTTACTCAGATATGTCCCTGTGGTCTGTCCTCATCAGCTGTGATCTTCAGCCTCTGTCAGTCAGTACCAGCTGTAGATGAAGATGTCCGACTCTTCGTACTCCTGCTCCTCAGTGGTTGCACCAGGACTTGGTCCTCCGTCAGGTGGTTCTTCAACTGTGGTTCTCCGCTGACACTGAGTTCTCCACAGTGTTAGAGTCTCTTAGATTTCCACGGCTGCTCTGTGGAACATGTTCCTGTGGATTACACTATGTAGTGTAGGGAGAGTTGACAAATAAATAAGTAGATTAAAGATTTATCCGCTGCTTGTCCCCTGAGTCTTTTGGTTCCGGCTGTTATGAACCTGTCACCACCTTGTCTGAGGAGAAGCCAGGAAATGGAGACACAAGAATGCAGGAGTGCACGGGCGGTGGATTGGAGGTGAAGGGAAGATTTCTTCTGGGGAATCTCTGTCACAGAGCTGTTCACCCACTAAAGCCTCCTCCTCTCCACCTAATGTAGGTTAGAGGAGGTGTCGGTGCAGGAGCAGAGAGTGGACGTCCACAGTAAAGTCTTCTGATCTGATGGACTCCTCCATTATTGATGGGAGGCAGAGCAGCTCTCGGCTCCTGACGTAGATTTGGCCACAGGGCAACTCTCACTTTCTGCTCCGTCTTTGCTTTGACTTCTCACTGATGACTGAACAATGAGGTCAGATAAGAAGATGGAGCGTTTGAGAGAGGAGGCAGGAAAAGGAGCTACTAGGAAGTTGGAGTAGAGCCACAGGAGGAGAAGGGAGTAGTGGTGTAGAGTGGAAAAGGAGGGGAGGAAGATGAAGAGAAACTGTTTAAACCATCTATGAAATTAGGACAGAGAGACGAGGCTGCTCGAAGCACTGACCAGGACAAGGACAAGGCATCTGTGTAGCACAGAGTCCTGGGTTTGATTCCCAGAGGAACCAGATAACTTGGCTCCTCCAAGGCACAGCCTGTTGCAGCAGATCTGGTGTTAACAAGAATTTTCCCATTGTGGAATCAACAGAGTTAAAAAAACAAACAAACAAACAAACACAGAGATACAATATCCACAACTGGAGACTGAGAGTGAATTATAGTCAGGACAACATTTACAAAGATTGGACCACAGAGGTTGACCACATTTAAAGCACTGACAACTTGGCTGTAAAAGTTTGTGATAAATGTATTACGTTATTCCACTGTCTGTATGCAGTTGTTAGCTGATCCTGACCCTCCCCCAAACACTCTTTAAACTTGTGTGTTGTTGCTGCCACCTACTGACTCAGTTTTACATTTAAAAACAAGATAGATAGAAGAAACTTTTAGGACATTTCCAATGTTTAATTTAATAATAATAATAATAATAAAACCCCATTCCAGTACCACTACTGGCTAACCAGGTCAGAGTTTGACCAAAAAATAATCAGTTGATTTGTTGACACAGACTAGAGCTGTGTCTCTGTACTTCACTCTCCTGCAGAATCTTCTGGATCTTTACTAACTTTTTCCACTTCCATCTATGTGGCCATACTTGTTAGCCACTTTGTGGCCATAATTATTTGACAGCAGTGATACCTGGGTGATACCAACTGCAGGAGAGGCAAACTTTAATTCCTCTGTGTTTACTCCCTTTCTCCTTATCCCTTGGTTCACTTTTCCTCCCAGACTTTTAGCTCAGGCCTGTTTTCACTCAAACTCCTCCCTGTTTGCTCCTTCACTCCCTTCAGCTCTTCACCCTCCTCCATCGTTGCTCCTCCACCATTCCTTCTGCGTTTCTTTTTCCTTCGTTTCCCTCCTGCCTCTCACTTTTTCTGCCTGACTGTAATTCAACAACCTTGCGTCTCCATCTCCTCCTCTGCTGTGTTTTTCCTGCTCCTCTTCCTCCTTGGGCTCAGCTGTCTCAGCAGCCTCCTCCTTGTTTGCTCCTGGCTCTCTGGCTGGTGTATTGTTTGCGTTGCGGGGGAAGGAGACGGATGCTAATTAATGTGGAAAGTGTTTGCTCTTCTTCACTCTGACTTTGACTGCGTCCCTTCATCTCAGCCTCTCTGTGCCTCCTTCCCTGTGGGCTCAGATGAAGGTGCTGCCATCCTGTTATCTGCACAAACAGCACTGACAAAAATACAGTCTTCAGCCATAACACATTTAAACAGCTACAGGATATGTTTGCAAACCACACTTTTTTTTCATCCTAGACTCTGAAATAACACCGTGTTTTTTTCCTGCTTACGTCAAATATGTTCTACTGTTTTACTGTGGTCCAGACTGGACCACGGAAAAACAAACATCACTGCAGAGAGGCTCTGCCTAGAAAGAAGGGGGAGCAGGAGAAGCAGAGGAGACGGTCAAAAATAACAGTCATTTTATGTCAACTTAATTTGGTTAAAGAGTAAAATATGACCAAAGAAAGGTGAACGTTGGTAAATATAAGAAGAAGTCTTTGGCCATGTACATCCTTCCTAAATCCCACCGCCAGTTCCCCTTCACTATATATATATACACACACAGTCGTGCCTCGCTGTATGGCGGTTTGGCTGTCACCCCTCAGTGCATCGTGGGTTTTTAATATTTTAAATGTATATTACTGATTTTTTTTTGGTATATAAAATCTTTTAAATGTTCAATGATTTCATGATTTTTGTGGTAAATTAGGCGTTTTCTACCCTAAGAAGAAAAAAAAGTAAATAAAATACAAAAATATTAAAAAATATAAATTAAGACATACATACAGGGTATTGAAAGAAATAATCTGTACATATGGGTAAACGAGATTTGTGAAAGTTTTGTTAATTATTTTTTGCCATATTTCACGCCCTACGATGCCTCACAAAGGGTTCGCAAAGGGTTAATATATATGTCAATAATATAATAACTAATGGGTCTCTGCATCACAGTTTTTCAACTCTGCAACCGTGAACCCATATACAGTATATATGTATATATATTTTTAAATTTTACAAAGAAAATGTTTATTTACCTGGCCCTCCAGCCACAGTTTTAGCCCCCATAAACAATGACTTATTTTCTCATATTTAACTTCAGCTTTTAGTCTCATGTCCTCTCCCTTGTGTCAACATGTCAGAAACTTCAGCGCTGCCTTTTTTTAGACCAGTTTTTATTCCTAGTCTTTGATACACAAACACACACACACACACACACACAGACTGTGTGTCACTGGTCAGAGCCCTAAAGGTGAATCCATGCAGAGCTGTATCAACACCCAGGGTTTGGTTTCTTTTTATTTTGTTTGCTCAAATGAGCAGAAACACTGAGAACAGGGGAGTGGAGCTGTATTCTCAGGAGAAACGGGTGGAGGGGGTGGGGAGAGCAGGGAGGAGAGAGGGTGTAGGACCTGCAGTGTTGAAATCTGTACACTGGATACCATAGTGTGACGAAGAGGATATGAGCAGGAACACCAACGTCATCCAAAAATAAGTTTGTTGATTTATTCCTGGTGTCGATGAGTAAATAAAGGTGATGACACAGGCTCTGAGTCTTCTCACCGCTGCACCCTCACCTCTGAGGAACACCAGGACACAGTGTGAAAGTCTGTCAGAACATTTATAGTCAGTGTCAGCTGCTAAGAACACTCAGGAGTCATGGGCTCCTGACAAATATATCAGGAGATGAAACATCTCAGCACCTTTCAGTCAGTTCCCAGGGTATTTTCACCACCAAGTCCTCATCTCACTGACACTGAACCTGACCAGGTGCTCTGACAGATGTTTCTTCTTTGTTACAAGTTCATCCAGCAGGTGGATGGGACTCACTCGGGTCTACTCTGTCGCCTCCTTCTCAACCTTTCTCCTCCTCTGTCCACAGCTGCTTCCTGTCTCTGCTGCTGGTGGCCGCCGTGGTCTGGAAGATCAAACAGAGCTGCTGGGCATCGCGGAGAAGAGAGGTGAGTCTGAGAAGATCACAACCAACACTGATCCTGGCCCATTTAGGACTGCAGAGTCTAGACCAGGGGTGTCAAACCACATGACAGCCTAATGAGCAGCCAGGAGGGCTGGACCAGTACAATCATAAAACAAGTATCTATAAATAACAGTAAATCCAAGTTGTTCCACATTTTTCATGAAAATAAGTCTTTAATTAAATATAATTTGACCAAACGTCACAAACATGCTGTCCAAATTCATCAAGTGGGTCGGTTTGAACCCCATAGCCGGTCGGTTTTGGCCCACGGGCTGTATGTTTGACACCCATGGTCTGCACTAATGTTAAGAGTCAAGGTTGGACTCTGACATCACTGATATTTTTTCAGGCAATAAAAACTGTCAGTAATCTTTATTCACTGAAGTCAAACATCTTTTAAACACAATTTACACAAAGCAGCAATTGTTTCATCAACATGAGGCAACTCAGCTATTTTAAGTCCATGTAAGGCCTTGTGTTTGGCAAATTTCCTAATGCTTGATAAACAATTTAAGTAAGGAAACAAAACAGGGTCAAGGTCAGTCCTAATGACAGACCTGCTGTGTCACATTTTCAGTCACAGTTTTCATTTTTACACTATAGTTTGGTAACGTTTGAGCAACTTTGAGCCCAACGTGCGTCTTTGATCTAGGAATCCGTTGAGTTTTCAAATATTCCCAGACCTCTTCATCTGCAGTGAAATAATAATCCCCCGCTTTCCTTTCACTTTGATAGTGTGGCTGAAAAGTTGTTCAAAATCCCTGCTTTTCCCCCCTTTGCTGCTGCTCCTTCATTATCATGCACATCATCACTCCAGACACTCTCACCTAGAATAAAATGAATGACTACGTTTGCCAGAGCTGCGCATTCAGCAGTGGAAGACAATTCAAATCAATTAAAGTAACGGACTAGTTCCCCAGCAGCTCTGCCTGTCTGTGTGTGTCTGTGTGTGTCTGTGTGAGGCTGTTTGGTTCTTGTTGTTGTTGTTGTTGTTGGCGTCACAAACGTGATCAGCCACTAGTTAAGCTGTGAAGGACATTTTGGAGGAATAAAGTCGACTAGTCCGACTAATGGACTAGTCATTTAACCCCTAGGGCAGTGATCATCAACTGCCGGCCTGTGGCCCGAATCCTGCCCACTGAAACACAGAGAACTTTGGGCCCTATGACAAATACAGTTGGTGACCCCTGACCTAGACTAAACCTACGTCAAAATGCTTTTGTTTTGTCCCTGCAGAAGTTCTTTTTTCAGGATAAAGTTTGTGTTCGTGTATAAACATTGACCTTTGACCTTTTCATATTTGGCTGAAGAGCTTTACAGCCAGGTTTATCATAATGTGTGAAGTTCTTGTTTGATGTGTGTGTGTGTGTATGTGTGTGTGTGTGTTTGATGATAATGTTGTGTTTAATAAGAGCTTTGACATTAACGCTGTTCACACTGAAGTGCTGCTTCACATCGACCTTGTCTTTGAAGAGCAGCTTTGACCTCCGACCTCAGATCTGCTCTTAACTCGGCCTCCTTTAATCCTGCTCACCTCCACACCCCTGCACCTCAGCAGAGAGGGAAATTCTCCACCTCCAGAACCAGATTATTAAACATGTTTTTACTAATTTGGATTTAAAACAAAAGTACTCACTTGAGTCTGTTGAAAGAAGAAAAAGAAAAATGTAGAAAGAATTTCAAATCAAGGGGAAAGAAGGACCTTCTTTAATTATATTAATGTTATCATTCAGATTCTGAAAAAAAGTAAATCAGTAAAATAACTGTAATAAGAAAAATCTTAAATTTAAATTTAGAAAACTGTTTTTTAAAGACATGAAAAAGATAATATATAATATATAATTTATTCTCAGTATTTAATTTTTTTTATCATTTTGTCACATGGTCTGTTTAACAACTTCATCGTCTCTGAATCAGTGTGGTGTGAAAAACAATGGCCCAGTTAACGAGCTCTTCATCATGCTGTCATGGTGTCCAGCTCTAACAGCAGGGGGAGACACCTGACGACCTGCAGACACTGTGTCTTTATGACTTCAGCTGGACAAGACTTCACCAAAACTCGGTCACTTAGAGGAAAAAGAAAACACCGCCAAAGAGCAGGACCTGAGTCTGAGCCTTCATTAATGATCCTCTTCATCTTCATGTCTTTGACCTTGATCATGGTCCAAACTAAAACTCGACTTCCTTCACTCGACCTCATTTTAGATTTTAGAGTCTGATACCTAAAAAAAACCCACCTACTTTTTACCCGTTCAGTTTCAATGTCATTGGAAAGACACAGGTGTTTCTTTTCTAGTGCAGAATAAATCAACTATTAATGAAAAGTCCATCTGTTTAGAGAGAGTCTAGTCTTTACAGTGACATCGTGCCCTGCACTGTGAACACTCAGAAACTCACACACACTTGTGTTGTTGTCTTTTAACATCATTTTAAGTCACATTTGCCAAGAAGATATACTGTAGGTGAGCAACATTTGATCCAAATGTGGTGTTACCCAAAAAAGTCACGCATAGTCAAGAAAATATTTGTAAAAAATACAAGTCAAGAGGAGGTATATTTTTTAATAATTACTATGAAACAGAAGTGGAAAATGTACTTTTGTGTTTTTTTGACACATAACTGTAACATAGTCACTGTAACACACACTGTAACACACACCCAAACTCAATCCCCTGGATGACCTCCTCCAAGGTCACCCGTCTTCCTCTCCGTCGTACACCAGCACTGTACTGTTGTTCCTCTTCACTTCCAGCCTCCAGGCTACACCCCCACATTTTCTCCCATCATCCCTCAGTCTTACTTTGAGCTTACATCAGCGGTACAATCACACACATTATCATCTCATTATGCCGTGCTTCTCCTCTCTCTGTGGATGGTGATGGTCGTTTAGATTCATGTAGGCAGGAATTCAGGACTTCGGCCTTCAGTTCTGGACTTTCACCGGGCAGCTGCCATTTTATCTTCTGGGTAACGTTCTGCAACCGCACACTGTAAATCAGTTACACCCACAAAACACCAGTTTTTAAGAGTGAACCTGAAGAAGTAAACCAAAGGTAGAGCTCTTGGATCTGGGATATCCAGTTCTGTCTCCCAAGACTTTAGAGGTCTTCAAACATGTTTAGTTACAGTTTTGTTGGTTGTTTTGGTCAAGACATGGATTTGTGGATTTAGTGATGTCATAGATTATTGTCCTAATGATGTCATTAATGGATGGTTTACTGATGTCTTCAGTGGACGGTTCAGTGATGTCATTGATTGTTTGGTTTCGTCATTGGTCTGGTGATTTATTGATTGTCGATTGGACGTTGATCAGATCCTTGATCGTCTAACTGATGCTACACCTGCACTGAACTATAAAAAAGGTCATGACTAATATGAAAACTAAATCAGAGGAAGCAACATTTATCTGAGTCTGCATGTAGAACAAACGTGTCAAACTCAGGCCCGGGGGCCAAATCTGGTCCGCGGTGTAGTTATATTTGGCCTGCGGATTATATCACATTTGTACTAGAGTATATAGCCATTATATACTGGCAGGATTTGTAGTATTAGCGGTGTAAGCACTATCTTATAAGACATGCTACACCTGCACTGAACTATAAAAAAATACTATCTTATAAGACGTACATTTTGTATTTGTTGTTGTTGGGCTGTGAAAAAAAAAGGCAACAGATAAGAGACATAATAAGAAACTAATTGTAACTAACTAACTAATTGGGATATTAAACTTTGGTTGATGTTAACGCAAAACTAAAGTTTGTTTCCATAGAAAAACAAATCTACATTACAGATCTGGAGAGAAGGGAGAACGTGCACAGTTGCTGTCAATTTTTCAGTAAATATAGAGTTTGGCCTGTGACTTGGTCCCAGTTTTGAACTTTGACCCACTGTGACTTTGAGTTTGGCACCTCTGATGGAGAACACATTTGTATTAATATAGTTCTTCTCTTCTACTTGTTATTGTCAGACTGAGTGGGTCGGGGGCCGGGGGCTGTCAGCTTGTTTTGGTGATGTTTCGCTGGGTGTGTGTGTGTTGAGACTTAATCAAAGATTTTTCTGTCAGAGCTGACCGCCTCTGAAGAAGAAAGCCAGTCTGATCAGGTGCTGTGAGAAAAACGCAGGGCAGTTGTCATTTGTGGTCATTAAGTAAAATCGTCATCACAGGGCTTTGAGTCAAAATCAGCCTCACTGCTGCCTCTACTTTAACCACAATACACAGTGATTGGCCCAAGAACATTCTAGAACTGTGAGTGAAGAGAGAACCACCGTCATGTATTACAGGAACTGACTAATAAAATGATGGTAATTTTCCGGACACTATTGAAGAGCTGAACCTGAAACTCTTCTGACTGATGGTGATCAGATCTTACGTTAGAGCTGGAGACCAGGAACAGGTCACAGGAGGTGAGGGGGAAACACAAACCTAAAAACTGTTCCAGGGTCAGATACCATTCAGAAGTAACTCCTCAACAGAAATGAACTGAAAGTCATCTTCACCGCTCTGAGTTTTTTTTTCCCATCACTTCTTCTTCTGCCATTCCGACTTTGTGTGCACCTGAACTCCTTCCATTCCCACCTGTCTAACTTTTCCTGGCTCAGCCCACACATGTTTGCTTGGATTCCACCCCAGCAGCAGCAGCAGCAGCAGAGGGTTTTATAGGCCAGTTTGAAGGCCATCAAACTACTCCCTGTCCATGGGAGACCTGCTGTGGTCCTGAAACCTCGGCTCATTTAGAAAGTCGTAATGCTTTGTCAGAAATTCATCTCTCTCTCATAAAAAGTCTTGACAATTTCACACCTCCTTCTGTATTTTTACATTGAGCCACCAGGTGGCGCCATCTTTAATCTAAAGAGCATGTTTAGAGAACAAGACTCATCGGAGGCTGTTGTTAGATGTTGGTGTCATTCTGATTTTCTTGGACTGCAGTGAAACATTCTGCTGGAGACCGTCGGTGTGTTTACCTCCATGTCCTCTGATGAGCAGTACAGCAGATATTTCATATACACACACATACTTTGACGTACATCAGACGTTACTACACCCCCAGGTATCTGCATGAATACAAACCTCATTATTTCCCTGATCTTTGTCTCTGCTTGCTTTTTGATTTACTGAGCGTTGGATTTTATTTTTTTTTTACACCTCACCAGAGGAGAAGCTGTAGTCTCCAGATACCCTTGTATATTTATGACCCCATCATCTTACCTCTCCTTTCCACCCCTCCTCCATCGCCGCAGCCTCCTCCTGATGTCATAAATCTGGTCCGTGGACCGGGCGTTATGTCATGAAATGAGTGAGAAGCTGCTCAATGGTCTGTGCTGTATCTACACCCAGGTCTTCATGTTTGGACGCTGCTCTGTGTGTGAGCTGTTAATGAAGTGGTGGTGTTGATGGACCGCCGCAGCGTCACTTAACGGACGTTAGCATACAGCTACATTTACATTTAAAAAGTAAAATCTGAGTAATGGGCACAACGGAGCTGACAACACGGCTTATGAGGAGACGAGCTCCTGAAACAAACACAGCGGAGATGATAGGACTGTTAGCAGCAGTGATTGTTGAGCTGTTGTTATGACTGTTGCTTCAAGGCTCATTGTTATTAAAAGATTTTAGAATTTGAATATCATTACAGTCCAAATGAACCACGTCGAACTTTCCAAAAATAGTTACATCGAGGGCAACTGGACGGAGTAGGTTTCTTGAAGATGCTTCAACTCTTCATCTAAGAGGCTTCTTCAGTTCTGTGACACACACACACACACACACACACACACACAGACACACTCACACAGTGAAAACACACTTAAATCCACTGCTTTTTCAGTCTCGTGCTTCATGGGCTGATGTGATTGTTTTTTTCTTTTATTAAGACGTAAATCTGTGTGTGTGTGTGTGTGTGTGTGTGTGCGCGTCTGTGTCTGTGTCACTGCCCTATTTGTGTGCGGTTCATGGACTGATTCATGGACAGAGGACTGGAGAGGACAGGTCATAAAGTTGTGTCCTTGTGTTTGAACTGCTGACCCCACAGAGAGGACTGGAGAGGACAGGTCATAAAGCTGTGTCCTTGTGTTTGAACTGCTGACCGCACAGCCATTGTCAGTGCGTGTGTGTGTGTGTGTGTATCAGTGTGTGTCCTCTCGGTGTGTCACTGTCACCTGTAACAGTTCTGTGCATGTGTGCGTCTGTGTGTGCGTGTGTATCCCATGTCCGTGTAACTGTGTCCTCTGTGTGTGTGTGTGTGTGTCACTGTTTCTGTTGTGTCTCCCATGGACGTACGTATGTCTTCTTTGTGCGTCCTCTCTGTGTGTGTCAGTACCAGGTCCAGTGAAGGACACTCAGAGACAGATTTTGACTTTTTCCTTGTATTTTTCTCACTCGTCATGATTGAAGACAGGACTCTGTGTTCTCTGTGATCATCCTCGTCCTCAGGTTCTGACCTCAGAACTCTGACCCTAACCCTGGACAAGTGTCTGTAGTCGCTGCAGCTCCTCCACTGAGTCCCACTCTTCTCTCTGACTCTCTCACCAACTCCTGTTTTTATGTCCCTGGATTGTCTGGACAAATAAAATCTTTTACTCTCCCAGAGGACAAATGTCTTTTTACAATCTGTCCAATAGAATCACTTCATAAAAACATGAACATTGATTCACTGAAGAGCATTTAATACACTTTAAACTGAACACAGCTGCAGTGAGGGGAGAGGATCAGAGCCCTCTCCTGGTTCTGTTCTCACTGTCTTCAATTCGTTTGTAATTTAATAACTAACAGATACATTTCACCAACTACACCTGCAGTTCCACCCCAGTGCATGCAGCAGTGCTCTTTTCATCTAACTGGATAATCTTCATCCACCACTGAGCACCACTGAACTAGTCATACTCCAGGGCTAACGTCAGTAGTCCACGTCTGTGGTGAAACTTCACAGACAGGGGAGTCCTCCACTCACGTCACAAGTCTGTCCTACTGCACCGTCTAACTTGGCTTTTGATATAAGCCAGAACTCACATACTTTATATCAATCACCTTCTCTAACACAGTGGAGACATCACAGTCTAGGACGTAAAAACATCAGAAGAGTCTGACTGACACCTGGGAGTCAGAACGAAGGGCAAAAAAACTACATAAACGAAGGAAGGTGAACGTAGCACAATCCAATGAATGGTTAGTTACAGCAGCAGTAACAACAGCAGTTACAGCATCAACAGTTACAGCAGCAGTTACAGCATCAACAGTAACAGCAGCAGTAACAGCAGCAGGTACAGCATCAACAGTTACAGCAGCAGTTACAGCATCAACAGTTACAACAGCAGTAACAGCATCAGCAGCATCATTAGCAGTACTAGCAGCAGCAGCATCAGTGGTAACACTGCTCCACCAGTTAAAGTCTCCCCTGGAACTCTGACCACTAAAATCTTCTGCTATAATAAAATGTTTGCAGCAGCTTTTAAACGACACAAACTGGGTCTGAAATGACATTTTTATGAAGTTTAATATTTTTATGGTTATTAATTTTTATTGGATAGCTTTTTATTTGCTCCAAAATACGGTTGGACACAATAAAGGCTGATAACAAGGAAGCAGTGGGTGATAAAGAGGCAACAGAAAGGAGGCGCTAGATCACATGACCCACCACTGGCACTAGACCTCTGAGTGGGTCACAGGATCTGGGCCGTGACCTAATATCAGGCCCCTGGGTTAGGGTTAGTGAACCAGAGGAGTTGACCAACACTGTGGATGACAGAAGATGGAGTGAGAGAAAATGTAGAGTGATGGACTGGACTGGACTGAACTGGACTGGACTAAACTGGACTGGACTGTACTGGACTGAACTGGACTGGACTGGACTAAACTGGACTGAACTGGATTAAACTGGACTGGACTGGGCTGGACTGGACTAAACTAGACTAAACTGGACTGGACTGGATTGAACTGGACTGGACTGAACTGAACTGGATTAAACTGGACTGGACTGGACTGGACTGAACTGGATTAAACTGGACTGGACTGGACTGGATTAAACTGGACTGGACTGGGCTGGACTGGACTAAACTGGACTGGACTGGACTGGACTGTATTAAACTGAAATGGATTAAACTGGACTGGCCTGAACTGGACTGGACTGGACTGGACTGAACTGGACTAAACTGGACTGGACTGGACTGGACTAAACTAGACTAAACTGGACTGGACTGGATTGAACTGGACTGGACTGAACTGAACTGGATTAAACTGGACTGGACTAAACTGGACTGGACTGTATTAAACTGAAATGGATGGATTAAACTGGACTGGCCTGAACTGGACTGGACTGGATTGAACTGGACTGGACTGGATTAACCTGGACTGGACTGGACTGGACTGGATTGAACTGGACTGGACTGGATTAAACTGGTCTGGACTGGACTGGACTGGCCGAAACTGGACTGGACTGGATTGAACTGGACTGGACTGAACTGAACTTGATTAAACTGGACTGGATTAAACTGGTCTGGACTGGACTGGACTGGATTGAACTGGACTGGACTGGATTAGACTGAACTGGATTAAACTGGACTGGCCTGAACTGGACTGGACTAAACTAGACTAAACTGGACTGGACTGGATTGAACTGGACTGGACTGGACTGACCTGGACTGGACTGGACTGAACTGGACTGAACTGGACTGGACTGGATTAGACTGAACTGGATTAAACTGGACTAGACTGGACTGGACTGGAATAAACCGGACTGGACTGGACTGACCTGGACTGGACTGGACTGACCTGGACTGGACTGGACTGGACTGGACTCATAGGAGTCAGACTTACACACACAACCTCAGAATCAATGGACGTGAGTTTTTTTTTATTTCGTTGTTTTATGACCTGGACTGAAACACAGAGGACTGGACTACACACACACACACACACACACACACACACACACACACATACACACACACAAACTGTAGTCCTTCGCTGCTTATTAGAAGTTTCTTTATTTTCTTTTGCTGCTTTTCATTTCTGCTGCTTCTGTGTTGATGGAGTATTGATCAGTCCTGTGTGTGTGTGTGTGTGTGTGTGTGTGTGTGTGTGTGTGTGTGTAAATCAGAACAGACGTAGGGACAGGGACAATGGGAATCAAGGATGGATAATAGCAGACAGCCAAAGTGAGGAGGACAATGAAAAGGAGCAGAAGATGTGACCTCCCCCTGATGGAGGGAGGAGTTTGACCTCCAACATTCAGCTCCTCCACCATCACCACCGTCTCCATCAACTCAAGTGATTATCTACATCATAGCAGAGAGGGAGGGGAGTAGTAGGAGAGAGGGGAGGGGACGGAGAAAGAGCTGAAGAACAGGTGAGAAGAGAAGGGGCAGAGTCATAGAAGGAGGGAGTGGGGGGTCAGGCGGGGTCGGGGAGGTCAGGGGGAGTGAGGGGGAGTGCAAAACAGTGTGTTCTATATCTTCTAATTCTCTCTGTGCCTTCCATCTATCTTCTCTGTTTCTGTTCTCTCTCCTCCCTCCTTCACCGCCTCCTCCCTCCTCTCCTCTCCTCTCCTCCTCCTCCCTCCTCTCCTCCCTCCTCTCCCCCCCTCCCCCCCTCCCTCCTCTCCTCCCTCCCCCCCCCCCTCCCCCCCCCCCCTCCCCTCCCCCCTCCTCTCCTCCTTCCTCTCCTCCCCCCCCCCCCCCCCTCCCCTCCCCCCTCCTCTCCTCCTTCCTCTCCTCCTTCCTCTCCTCCTTCCTCTCCTCCTTCCTCTCCTCCTTCCTCTCCTCCCTCCTCCCTCCTTCACCGCCTCCTCCCTCCTCTCCTCCCTCCTCTCCCCCCCTCCCCCCCTCCCTCCTCTCCTCCCCTTTCCTCCCTCCTCTCCTCCCTCCTCTCCTCCCTGCTGCAGTAGTCTTTCCGCCACAGCTTTCTTAAACAGACACATCCATAAATAAATAAATGGTTTTATGTAGTATGTGTGATTGTGTGTCTGTGTGTGTGTGTGTGTGTGTGTGTGTGTGTGTGTGTGCGTGTCCAGACGTGTCAGCGTTCTGTCCTCAGTTCCCAGGAGTCAAGTCTTTGAACGTCCTTGTCTCTTTATCTTGCTGCCAGTTTTTCCATTTTGTCCTCACGCCTCCCTCGTCGTCCTCCTCCTTCTTTCCCTCCCTCCCTTTCGCTCTCTCTCATCTTTTTTCTTTATTGAGTTTTTGATTTTCTTTTTCATCCCTCCTTCCCTCTCTCCTCACCACCTGCCTGCTGGTTTTTTGTGTACATGCATATATCTGTGTGTGTGTGTGTGTGTTTCAGTGGTATTTGTGGGACACAGAACAGCTGACTCTGTCCAACAGTTAAACTGAACTGGCTTTTATTTTTGCCTTCAGTGATGAAACAACAAACCAGTGTCACCTCCTCCTGACCCTGCAGTTCTGTTTGCTGCCTCACAGCTGCTCACTCATTTTATTTATTTATTTTTTATTTGTGAAACCTTTCAAAAACTTCAGTAGTACTACATAAAGATACTTTTCAGTGTGCTTTTAACTGTGATCCTGCAGCTGACGTGAACACAGAGGTCAGAAAACGTACAAATGAAACAATAAATAAAACCAAAATAGCTCGTAGTAAAGATAGCAGGGGCAGAGAGGTAGTTGTTGAATTTGGCTCAGCCAACAGTACCAGCCCCCCCCC